TCTTCTCCATCCAGGGAGCTACCCTCCCCTGTTGAGCGGACACCACATCTGCAGTGGGCATCGAGTTTGGACTGCTGAGTGGTGTGTGGGGATCAGGAGGGTTGGTGGCGATTGATGGACTTGATAGGTTGGGCGCAGGCCTGCGCCATAGCTGTGAGCTCGAGGTTGGGAGGAAGAAGATGTCTCCCATACTTGCTGAAACTCTGTTCTTAGTTTTTTCATGGATGTTGACAACGTTGTAATGAACCCAGTCTGGTAGATACTCAGAAGTCGTCAAACATCAGTAGTCTCAGTACCTGCAACAAAGTCTCCAAATCGTGAAGTGATATCTCAAACAGTATCTTATTACCATTAGACGAAGAGAGTGGAGGGGGATCAGACAGAGGAGAAGGTGGAAGAGATGATAAAAGATCACACAAGAGTAATCCCGTCAAACCCCTCTCCTTCTCCGGGCTTCTTCCCTCTCCACGTCAACAACCAGTAGATAGTAACAAGTACAGTAATCCTGATCACACACAATAGTGCCACGTGGCACTCTTATCACATGAAGACCATGAAGACACAGCAGATTTCAGTAACGACGTCAATCTCAGGTCAGTATCCGACCTCCCTCATCCACAGATCCCAATCTTCCTCCTCCTCGCAACCAGTCACATCATGTAGACAGCGTAGGCAATGCCGAGACAGGTGGCATACGTCACATCATCAATGAAGAACAGTGGCACGCGCCACATCAGTAATGAAGACTAGTAGCAGCGTCTCATAGACCAGAGGCAGCGCCACATCAGCATGTACTGTAAACCAGAGGCAGTGCCACATCAGCATGCAATGTAGACCAGAGGCAGCGCCACATCAGCATGCAATGTAGACCAGAGGCAGCGCCACATCAGCATGCAATGTAGGCCAGAGGCAGTGCCACATCAGCATGCCTGGCGCACAGAACAAGCCAGCGTCTTGTCAAAGTTGAGCCAGCGTCAAAGCAGCATGGCAAGACTGAATGCTTGACTCACTCGAGGCCAGCCTGATGTAGCAGTTGTCGAGGCTGTCTGGCCTCGGGTGTTTTTCCCACAGTCGTCCAGATTGACTCACAGCTGAGGGCCCCTATTGTACAGTTGCAGACTTCTCCTTTGGACCTGATGCTGTCTGGGTACCTGCATACAAACAAGTGTGTGTGCTTGACCAGCGGCCTGGGCTGGGTACCTTTGGACTTTGACTGTTGGGGTCGACAGTTGACCAAAGTCAACTGTCACACGTCCAGGCCCTGAGTCCTCGTGTGGGGTCCTTTTTGCCCCCGTTTCGGCCTGGGCTGAGGGCGGCCGAGTTGGCCCTCAGTCTTTCCACGAGACATATTGCATGGGTTATTGCAACCTGGTTGGGATTCTCAGAAACAGTGTCTGATTGGCTGGATAAGAGAGGTGTAATGAACCGCCAAAACACAGACTGAGAACACTGCTGGTGTCTGGGATTTGCCGTTGGAATGAATGCCTTGCTGAGATTCCCGCATTCTGCTGTGATTTCTAAGTCTGTGTGTGTGTCGCATACCATAATGGTACAGACCAGAAC